TCCTTCACACACACACACACACACAATCGCACCTCGCATCGTCAAAGCACCAATGATCGTTTCGCTGAAAAGCTTGGTGTAGTGTCGCTGGTAAAAGAAAGAAGCAGAAAAAGCTATACAAAGACAGCCGTGCTCTTCGTAAAAAAACAGCGGGGTATTAGCAGCGATCGCGAGAGTTGCCGCATGAAAGGAGATCAAACAGCACACGTTGGGGTTCGAAAACGGAAACCGTAGATCCGCATGAATATTCATTCCTTTAGTTTTGTTCGCCTGAATGCCGTACGATTTCACAAGGACAAAACAACTCGGTCAACAGTGTCGCACACGACGGATGAAATGATCTTCCAGTGGGATCCTGACGTGCCACTCGTTGTCGACGAGAATATCGAGCTACCGCAGTTGCAACTGGTTAAGAATTACACGGCCGATTGCACGCAAGTCTATTCTACTGGTAAGTGATGTTCCACGTCGACACGACGTTTTGTCTCCGTCGGATAGAGCGAAAGCCGGGGAAGAAACCGGGTTTTCTCTCGTGTCTAATTAATCAGTTCCGAGGACGGGCCGGGAAACGAGAGGGAGGATGAGAAAACGTTCGGGAAGTGATAATTCCCGTTTTCAGTGGCGGAAGCGTAATCCTCCAGGTTGCGTTTGGAAATGTTCATTCAACGTGGCTTTGTGAGAACGTGTAAAAATAATAGAACTGGCTTCTGAATAGGGGAGAGACGAGGAAACACGAGCGTGGGGTAATTGCGAATTCGCGTGTATACGGTGTTAGAAAAGTATGAGCAATTCCTCCTTTTGCCGTATGATCGCTCTTGCAGAATGCGATGCTAGGTCACCGATGCAAAACAATTGACACCGATCGAGGTGAAAACTATGGAAGATTTTTCCTCGTCTTCGACTGAATTTTTGAAGAAAGTAAAGTGTAGCTTCTGCATGTGTAGGGGGAGTTCCCTTAACGCCGGACGGCACCTAATATCGGACATTAGTTATATCTGCAGTAATTGAAACGCTACCGAGCCGTTATTCTGCGTATCCCTTAGAGGAGACAAAAGGAATAAAAATAAGTTTTCTACGCGTTTCAGTCGCGTGTGCACAGGTAGAGAGATTTATTTAAGAAGAACCTTAAGCGGCCGGCGCTAGGGGAACTCCCCCTAATTACCTTAATACTGACGTTCAATGCTAACGAATTATGCGTTACTATTGCTGCGACTGGGCGCAGGAAAAGTGCAGCGATGGACAGAGCACATCTAGAGGCTATTTGTGAGACTTTTGTAAATAATAAGTAGACAGTTAGGAAATCACGAACAGCAACGGTTTGGTTTTTCTATTAAAAATTGGTTTTATTTTGAAATTTTGTTAAAGTTCGGTATGAAAATATCTGAACAGATAACACGTGTTTGTATGTGAACGATGAAAAAAGTTGTTAACTTTGTAATATTTTGTTTTCTTCAATTTTTTTGTTTCAATTTGTTCGTAATTCCTCTACTCTCCCCTGTGCAATCTGCGTTCGTGTAAAGATCGATATTCACACGCTGTTGGGAGATTTAAAGATTGGACCGAGTAGAGACGTGATAGTTGGGAAAATTTGCGAAGTTAAAGTGGAGATGGAAGAGGACGATGGATGTGAATGAATAATTGATAGAAATTTCTCGTTGTTCAGGTAACTTCACTTGCCTCGAGGTAGTATTCGTCCTGAAACGTAGGCTTGGCTACTACTTGTTTCATACTTATGTTCCTACTTGTCTGATTGTTATCATGTCGGTAAGTCTGTGAGCGTAGAATGTGAAAATAAATGTACCGGGTGGGACGTGTGAAACGGGCCACCTAGTTAGCTTCTCTACAGCTACGGTGGTAACCCAATTTAAATGGTATCAAAGGGTGAAGAAGATGGAAGACAAATTTTTTTTTAAGTATGCCATTCTTTCTATTCCTTTTTTCAAGGTCACCTATGTTTCTTCACACGAATGTATATGTGTTGTAGTAGACATAATAATATCACCTTGAAATGACTTTGGACATCAAAACTTTTAATCAAACGTGAAACTTCTTTTCATTTTTTGACATTTTTTCCATAAATGTCATTTTTTCCTCTTTTTTTTTCAAGCTCAATAAACATTCCTAATAATATGACCTTCAAACGACCTTGAACTCTAAAATTTTTAATGGAACGAGAAACTTCATTTTTTGCCATTACTTTCGTTAAAAAAATTTTTCTTCCATCTTACTCGCACTTTGAAACAGTTTAAATTATTTATAAAAATTAGTTGATTAGTAAGATAATTAGTTGGCGTGTTTTACGTGGCTCACCCTGTATATCGTCGTCGTTTCTTTTGTACCAATAGTTCCATCTGATTCTTTTTACGAAATACTACTTGCTGTCTTTGTTATTAAATCGTTGGATCGTATTAAACGAATTAATTTGACCCTAACGTAAATTTCAATTTTTATTTATACAAATCTTAATGCTGATACTAAGTGCAATTTATAAAGATATAAAAAATTTGACTTACTTTTTATTCCTGCGCAAATTACGTAGCATAAAAAGTTATTTACGTTATCAACAATTGGGTCAAACGGAGTATTTAGTAATAATAGTTGCCGATAGCACTTCTTTTTCAAGTATGCATTTTTAAAATTCAAAAATACCTTTCGTTCTGCACAGTGGGTCTCCTTTTGGATAAAACCGGAAGCTGCGCCAGCCAGAGTGACACTGGGCGTAACTTCATTGCTAACCCTATCGACGCAACACGCGAAAAGTCAAGCGTCTTTACCTCCCGTTTCGTATTTAAAGGCCGTGGACGCGTTCATGTCGGTTTGCACGGTCTTCGTGTTCATGGCGTTGATGGAGTATTGCCTGGTGAACATCGTTCTAGGTGATTCAGATACGCCACCGAAACCGGCCGCTCCACCTCCGCCGCCATCTTCCAGCGGCACCGATGCAGCGAAGCTCGACAAGATCTTCGACATCGCCACTAAGGTAACGCCTGGATGAAGATCTGAATGACTCACAGACAGCTTCTGTGCCTCGGAGAAAGGGAGTGAGAGATTTATTCGAAGAGGAAAATCGAATGTTCAACACGTTCACTGCCTCGACAGATTTACATGTTTTGCTCAGGGAGACAGAAGAAAATTTTTGTTATTCTAAACACAATGTTAGGGTAATTCCGGGAGAGATGGACCAGACAAGTATTTCCTACATTTTCCGCCATGTGTGGAACGCGTCAGTATTCTTTTGTTTTACATTTGTTTTACGGAAAGCGATCGAGCGTGGCTCTCGGTGCTTTTTGTTCCATATCTGGCGGATAATGTAGGAAACACTTGCCTGGTTCGTCTCTCTCGAAATTACCCTATATTATGCTTTATTTTTTTTTTAAATTCAAAATAATGTCTAGGTAGCTGTGATGTTCGAAATTTTTAGTTGACGATATTCATATTATTTTAATTATTTGAGACACTTGACCAACGTGGCAGTCAACGTATTAACAGTAGTCTCTTCTTAGAAAAAATTTGGTTAGATTAGGTTTGTTTGTGATTGGAATCTTCAGTGTTTTTATTTCAATGATTGTCTTGAGATGGAAGTTTCCTTCTCTGAATTTTGCAAACCATGATTTTTTATGGTCTGGCAGTATTCAACCCTTTGAGTGTTTAGTGTTTAGTCCGGGTCAAAAAAGACCCGAAGACCTTATGCGTAACAATTCTTTCTTACCAGCACGCTTAGACAATAAACTTTTAATGTGTAATTAGCTAAACATAAACTTGATAACAGCAAAAATTATTTAAAAAAATAAGAAGAGGATGGGTCAAAAAAGACCCGGAGACCGCACTAGGGTTAAACTTTACTTTGCAAGAGATTCAGATAGGACATAACATCGTAAAAATGAAAAAATGAGTGCATTCGTAATTCCTTCAAATTATTAAAAATTAGATAAGAAAAAATAAAACAATACTTGCACATTATTCAGGAGTAATTTAAGTCACAAAAAAAGTTTCCACTTTTTCACCACGTTATAGTAAGCACTCAAAGGGTTAATCTGTGAAAATAGTTCTGATAGGTTCTAATACGGTTCCATCACTATTACAAGCATAATATATCATCCGACAAAGCAAACTCGAGACTTCCGACGTCGTCGCCTGAGAAAATATTATCCGAACGAATGGAAGTCCCCGCAAATAAGCGGTTCGAAAATCGATGCGTCTCATCATCGACCACGCGTTCATCTCTCCAAACTCTCCGAGGCACAGAAGCGTTGTCTGCACAGCCGGCGGTTCAAGTTGTGATCGTTGTCACGCAGGAGAACGCTATGTTGTTATCCGGCCGATCGCAGAAATCGTCAGCTGGTCCACCGCCAGGCCCTACACCCGCCCAGAGGGCGCGGATGCGTGCTCTGAACATCGATCGTGTCTCACGGGTCTTCTTCCCTTTCTTATTCGCCGTGTTAAACGTAACATACTGGATAATGTTTGCCGAGTACATTTAAACGGTCGTGGAAACGTCGATGGTAACGAGCTCGAAGAAACGAGAACGCGAACGATGGAAGAAGAAGAAGAAGAGATATCGTTTGAAGGATGACGGGAGAAATGACACTGTTGTTAGGTACAGCTGCGATGTCCAGGGATGAGGATGAAATGAATGTTTGTGAAAGTTCATTCGTAACATTACGTCGACAAGATTATCCTTTTTAGCGAAGTTGTTGTAATTGAAGGAAGAGTTGTGGGGAAAATGGGGTGCCAGTTGTGTGCAGGGTTGATGAGGATCTTGGTGCAAACGAAAGGAAAATGATTCTTGCTTTCAATGTTATTAGAGATGAATAGAGGTGAAGTAGGAAATTTGGATTTTCAAGCGTGTAAAATGTTTCTTTTCACACGAAGAGGGGGAAATATTGCTGAAGGCGATTTGGATAGTAGAGAAACCGTGTTTTCGATTCGATGCTATAAAGTGTTAGTAAGTAAGTGTAAATAAGAAGAAAAGAGAAAAAAATATTGTAATTGTAGGGGATATGAGAAAATTAGAAAAATTACTGAAATTTCGAATAATCTCAGGTGAATTAAAGTAGGGAAGTACACTTTCACTTAACCCCTTGACACTCACATTTTTCTCATCTCGATCTACCAAAACTGATGAATTTTCTTTTGTTCTTTTAATGCTGTGATTTACGTTTTTGCCATAATAGAAAGGAGAACGCAATATGGAAATTAGAAGAAAATAATTTTAAAAAACTGCACTTATTGATTAAACACGGGCATCAGCGTTAAGGGGTTAAATGCACGCGTGCTCGAATAAACTTCACGCTTCCTTCTTTCCTTTGCCAATCATTGTTTCCTGAAAAATCGTTTTCTTCTCACTTTGCACCATTATTACCACTCCATTCTACTTAACGAAGAAACGTTGCTTAATAAAATCGTCACTTTGAGATTGCGAGTGAACTGTAATATGTTCGCAATAAAAATGGTAACTACAAAGGAAGGAATATCGGCAGAAAAAAAGATACGAAAAAATAAGCAATCATTAGTTACATTCTTTCAGAGTGAACAATTAATGCGCTATATTCTATCTCCTCGATCACGAACGAACGGACCGAGGCAGACCAGAAAAGGAAGGTAAATTGAGCAGTTTATCGTCAATCGATGCATCTGAACGAGCAGTAAAAGTTGTACGACTGCAACGGAGAATAGCCGTTGTTATTCGAGCATGATAAGTGGATTATTGAACTGTTCCAATGCATCGTTTGAGATCCCTTTAACCCTTTCACTGCTGTTGACGTCTATAGGCGCTTTGAAAATTTTCTCGCGCTGTGACCTAGGCGCTTTGAAAATTTTTTTGCACTGTGACCTTGTCGCCTACTGGCGTTTTGAATATTTTCTTGCGCTGTGACTTTGGAGTCTGTAGGCATTGCGAATATTTTCTCGCGCTGTGACCTTGACGCCTATAGGCGTTGCGAATATTTTCTCGCTCTGTGACTTTGATGCCTATAGGCGTTTTGAAAATTTTTCGCGCTGTGACCTTGATTCCTATAGGCGTTTTGAAAATTTTTCGCGCTGTGACCTTGGAGTCTATAGGCATTGCGAATATTTTCTCGCGCTGTGACCTTGACGCCTATAGGCGTTTCGAAAATTTTCTCGCGCTATGACTTTGGACCCTATAGGCGCTTTGAATATTTTTTCGCGCTGTGACCTTGGAGTCTATAGGCGTTGCGAATATTTTCTAGTGCTGTGACCTTGGCGCCTATAGGCGTTGCGAATATTTTCTCGCGCTGTGACCTTGGCGACTTTTGGCACATTTTCACGTTAATTTAATCCTTAATTTTTACCCTTTGCGCACTTCCACCTTAATTTAATAAAAACGATAAATTAAAAAATTTTTTTAAAATTAAATTTTTAATTTTTAAAAAAGTTTAAAATGCCGAAATAAAAGCGATTGAACATCTACCGTCTGCCACGCGAGTTACATATTAAAATCTGCTGCAGCGAAAGGGTGTTAACAAGTAACTTAATGATTGTTTCGCGTTTCTTTAAAGAGGAAAACTGTCAAATGCCGAGAGGGCGGATTAAAAAGAAATTGAAAGTCTACTGTTAAATTGTTTTCAATTTATAATTATACTACTACTAAGGAATAATGTGTTTTGTTGTAAGCAACTAACTCATTGGTGATAAAAAAAAAAAAGACGGAAGAAGAGAAAATATTGCTAAAGTAATTACTAATGATTGGTAAATCATTTAATTGTTAACGTAAACTCGATTAAACTAACTAGAGAATGAACAGTAAACATGTATTGTTAAATACAAGATTGTTACGAGTAGTGCTTTCTGCTCGCAATTTTATTTTTTTCGATCATTCACGATTATATTGATCAGAGTGGAATGATTACTCGTACGATCGCTCCCGCGGGATACCCCGCGACTTTAGAATTAAAATTGTTTCGATACCGAACACTTGTTCCAGAATGAGCTTGATCATCTCGCTGTAATACTTCCGAGACTTTTCGCTTTCGAGATCATTTATAAAGAATGATTACTGCGTACATTAAAGTAATTGCGAAGAAGATATTAGAAGGTACGTGTTCTTCCTGAACTTTCAATGAAAAACAAACTGAAAAAAGAAGAAAAGAAAAAAACTAAGGTTGTTATGAATTATAAAATGCTAAGCTCGCGAATTTTTTTTAGCGAAATTCCGAATAATTTGGAATACGAAAATTTTCATCGGAATAATGAATAAATTAACGAACGAAAGAGAGAAACTACGTGTAACATAGTCACACGGTTTTAAAAAAAGAACGAAGGATAATGGTGCGTTAGAGAAGTATATAAAGAATGTCGAAGAAAATATAAAGGCCAAATGAATTGGAATTAAAAGCTTCGAACAGAAGTGAAAACTCTCGAAAATTCGAATTGAGTTGAGTTCAGTCGACTCTAGTTGAGTGAGTGGTAAATAAATTTTTTATTTTTTATGGTTTGAAGTAATTAGAATATTTTAATTTACCTTTAATTTAATTTTGCTTAACGACATATTTTAATACAACATAAGTGAAATAAAGACGATATCGTACGATTGTAATAAAATTATAGATATCATTAAAGAAGCACACTTATGAAGTAATTTTCGTAGATGTTGCTAAACTAAATCTCTGTTTTATCGACATTGTGAACAATTACAAGTAAATTATAACAATTTTTACGATATATTTTATTTGATTGTTCAATCACAGCAGATAAAATTTATTCTGAATAAACTTTTAAGTATTCGAAATTTTAAGTATATTTGATACGTTCAATTTAAAACAGTTCTTTCCACAACTTTTCACTCTTGACTCGACTCGAAGCTTAGATGTTCCTCTAATTCGAGGGCTTTCGAATAACATGGTGCGTGAAACGGAACACACTTGTACAGCAAATAAATATAGTAGGCACTCGTTTCGTTTTAGAAAACTAGTAAAAGATTATATATTTGCGAATCCGGCCGAACGATCAATGGCATCTATGAATGAAACCGCCATACTTGTCTTCGTTTTTTGGTATTTCATACAAAGGGGTGCCCAAACTTTTCTTTCAATTTTTATCCATTCTACACCGTTCTACTTGAACTTCGAATGATACTTATCTATACTATGGGTCATAAGTTTAATTCTCATTTACCAGTTCTATTATCATTGCAATATTTTCCAGTTATACGTGATATTTTTGTAATTACCTTTTAACTTTTTATTCAATTTGCAGGTATTGCATAGAGTAGAGATTTAATTAATACCGTTTATAGGTAAAGTTTTTCAATATATCTTTCACAAGATTATTTAATATCGTGTAATTGGTAATGTAGAATTAATTTACCAGTAGAGCAACTTCGTGAGCGATTCTGATTTACCACCTCTTTCAGTGTAATATTTTGAAATATAGTTAATAAGCAGCTGTCTTTAAAGTGACAAGTAACTGCCATTTGTCTGCATGTAGTAAAGTGTATACTTTAATTTGACTTAATTAATATTTCAAGTGATAAAAAGAAATATAATTAACAGTGCACTGTAAGAGGTGTAAATAATAAGTAAGAGAGTGAGGTTAGAAATGCTAAAAAAATGTGTAGAGTAGTGTAAGAAATTGCAAAACTAAAAGTGGCTGTTTTAACCATAATAGAAAAATAATTTCTTTTCTTAAAAAACGAATAAAATTGCGCGTGAAGTTAAAGTAACTCTTTAAGGAACACAGTATCGAACTTATGACTGATAGTACGTATATGTAAAAATGCTGTTAAAATTAGTGACTCTAGAATGATTCACAACATTCTTGGTTTATGTATAAAGAATTATATGTGAAAAAGTGATTCTACTTAAAATAAATTTCATGCAGGTGAAATGAAATTTTAAAAAGTGTAAATAATAAAATATAACGATTGTTACACAGCAATGCGATTTTCTGATTTGCTTTGTACAAGATAGTGTCGAGCATTTTTCCTTTACTTCTTTTAAACTACATTTATTGTAATATTATGATATCAATTGTATCATTTAAATTCCACGATACTTTGAATTATATTTCTTCTATCTAATTGACAGTTTCTACTAATAGTTCGTTAAATTCCACTCCAACAAATTTACCAGTCAGTTGGCGTTAAAAATAGTCTGTGAAAATGCTCCACTTGCTGAAAATCGCGTGCCTCTTTAAGTGTCAGTGTCACAGATTTTTCAAGGAGTCGAAGTGCATTTGTCCTTTCTTTTATCTTTCACTGAAACGCGGCTACCTCAAAGAGCTAAAAAGGTGACGCGCAAATGGGCACCCCTGCCCTATACTTAAGAGAAAATAATGTACGAGGGATCGATCGAACAACTGTGAAAGGAAAAAGGGAACGGAATAAGATTATGCGGTTGTCGAATGCCATTTAACACGATAAGCGAGGCGAACGCGATTTAACTAAATGTTCAGCGGTAAACGACACCGCATTTGTGAATCAATTTTCTCTTACGTCGCTGTATG